TAGAGTGTTTTATTAGGAAAGGGAGTGGAGAAGTGGCACCACAAAATGAAGACAGACTTAAGAAGGCTGTGATATCAGGCAAAGTTTTATATGGTGAGCAACTTGCTCAGTTCCACAGGGGAGCTTTGGAGACAAGACAGATCACATGTCAGAGCTGTCTCAACCAGAGACAAGGGAATCAGAGTGTTTATTATGTATGTTCCTTCACCCATCACTTACTGATCAAGGGCTCTGCCCTCAACCTCCAGGAAACTTACTCAGGCTGCTCTGGCTTTCCACTCCCACAGACCAAGACCACATCAGCAGCTTAAGGGCTGGCTCCTCGCCTACAAAGACTGGTAGGTGTTGGCTTATGTGAATGAAAGCCATGGGGAACCACATATGCATGAATGTGGGGGTATAGGTAGAGCACTGGCATCCTCCTCTGTTACAGAAGGCCGGGCCATATCAAGGGGCCACTAAGTACCAGGGTGATGGGTTAGGATTTATTCAAACCATATCCATAAGCAGTTGGGAACCAGTGAAGGCAGAGTACCAAGCAGAGGTGTGGCGTCATCAGGTAACACCTGTTATCGTCTGCGTTTTGAAAAGAGAGATCCACATTCCATCAGAGTTGAAAGCGGAGTTTCTAGTACATTTATAGGTGTAAGGTGGTGGTAATAAATTATGGACAAGTGTCTGCCCAAACTGCCAAATACAGAGAGAGCCTTTTAGCTAGGTAATAATTTCACAGGAACTTACATTTACTCTCTGCCTGAAGGCAGAACAGAGAAGATTTCCTTGGAAAACACTTGAGCTTGCTGTTGGTTTTCAAAGCTCCTTGTTTTTATAATAGCACCTTCTGGGAAGACATGAAAGGCAATTCATACTGACAAACACTTCTTGTCTAACTACCTAACATGCCTTTCAGAAAGATAATGAGTTACAGCTAATAAACAAGCTCATGTCATGCAGTGAAATAGAAGTTATACTGTGAAACTACAGTACGCGTGACGTCTTGAGCTCTTTCTCTGTCTGCACCAGCCTCCTCACCGGCTTAGTGCTGTAAGACCTAGCAAAGACAAAGGCAGGTGGCAAGGGACTTTCACTAACACAGAGTCAATAATAAATAAGGCACTCTGTCCTTCCAGTATTCCCACTGCAAAAGGATGTCAGTATTTCCAAATGCTTAAAAGGACTATTAATTCTGATCCTCTATCACTAAAGAAATCGGTTCTCTGCAGCTTACACTTTACCTCCTCAGCTGGATAATCTACAAGAAAACATCAAGACTCCGGGCTGCTCATCCTGTAGGTACAGCTGATGAAGTGACTACTGCCTTGAAGCGTCTGAGACAGGAGACTGAAAATGAAGTGACATCTCTCATAGCTGTAACTACAGAGCCCACACAGAGCCCAGCTCCTCCTGAGGACGGGCCACTAAGGGACAGGAGGCAGTGTACAGAGTTATAGTGCACCTGCCCTCCCCATTTCTGGAAGGCATGGCACCTAAGCGAGGCCGAATCTGCAGGCTTTCCTCTATGCGTGTCAGAGACACTTATATGTATCCATAGGTGTCATCTATTTCTTTGCAGAGAAAGATGATCTGGATTAGAGACGTGAACTATATTGAGTTCCCCAGAAGCTGACTCTGAAGTGAGCATTCTTATGCACGTGACTTATTAAGAATTGCTCCCAGAGTGCCGATTCGATGAGGCACATGCACCCCAATGTTTATAGCAGCACTGTGACCCTAACTACGGAAAGAGCCTAAATGTCCATTGACTGATAAATGGATAAAGAAGATGGGGTGTGTGTGTGTGTGTGTATATATATGTGTACACACACACACACACACACACAGTGGAATATTACTCGGTGATCAAAAAGAATGAAATCTTGCCATTTGCAAGAACATGGATGGAACTAGAATGTATTATGCTAAGCGAAATAAGTCAGTCAGAGAAAGACAAATATCATATGATTTCACTCATATGTGGAATTTAAGATACAAAACAGATGCACATAAAGGAAGGGAAGCAAAAATAAGATAAAAACAGAGAGGGAGACAAACATAAGAGACTCTTAAATACAGAGGACAAACTGAGGGTTGCTGGCGGGGTGTTGGGCAGGGAGAAGGCTAAAGGGGTGAGGGGCATTAAGGAAGGCACTTGTTGGGATGAATACTAGGGGCTATATGCAAGTGATGAATCACTAAATTCTATTCCTGAAATTATTAGTACACTCTATGTTAACTTGGATTTAAATTTAAAAAATAAAAAATAAAAAATAAAAATAAAGCACTCAACAAAAGAATTGCTCCCAGGATAGACCAGCCAAGGGGCGATGGGAAAAAGGTCAGGGAAGGAGAGGAAGCCAGGCAAGGGCATAGCCTGATCCAGCAGCAAAGCTGTAGAGTCTAAGTAATGCCTTGGGGGACCACTCCTTTTGCAGCCCCCCTCCCCCCACCGCTCTCAGGGAATTAACTGTGCTTTCAGACTCCCCCATCTATTAGTTATTGGTAAAGGGTTGCTTTGTGGCAGGGCGTATGTAAGCTCCTAGGAGCTTCTGGCTCTCTGCTCACGTGAGAAAAAGCTACAGCAGCCTGAGGAGAGGCTTCTAAACAGAGACTCAGGTGAAAGCTCTTGGAGACAAAACTCCTAACAGTCATGGTGAAAGGAATCCAAGGTGACCTGGTAGAGGACCAAGGAGTCAGAGCTCCTTTCTCTGGAAAGACATTAAATGCAATCAGAACTTTTGAGCAGGCTCAGAGAACTACTTCTCCCTTACGATAGAAAGTGAAATCACTCGGTGGTAATGTGAAGGTGATTGCCATGGAAAGTGGTTGGTCCCTGAGCACAGAGGATGCCTGGGAGAGCTCAGATAGCGCCCCAGTGCACATCCTTCAACCATTTCCAGGCAACTGTCTGGAAGCCTCCAAGTTGTTTTCCAAATAGCCCCTCTGTGTTTTAACGTTAAATTTATGACAGACAATTTTATGTATTGAAATGAATGTTACTTGTCCTTCATCTGTGTCCTGCATCACATAATGTCTCGAACATTTTCTAACTTAAGAGTCTATGGTGCTCACCCATTATGCACAAAAGGAAGACAGTGATAGGAGACTGTGAAGTCAGATTAAGTGCTATCCTTTATTGTAGGGCTTGTCATTCAATTCCAAGAGACTTAGTGTTGTAATGACCAAATATTTCCCCTAGTTCATGTCAGGGGAATGCTAATTCTACTGTGGACTTATTTCTTGTTAATATTGCACTTCCTATTTTTATCATATTTATGTGAGTCATGGGCTTGCAGTTATTTTAAGGACTTTTATTATATTTTATTATCACTTTTACCCCAGCCCAAATATACTTCCCGAAGATTTTCCATGAATTATTCACACCAAGCTTAAGGTCTACAATTATAAAACTCCACCAGAAAGCTGTATGTAACTTCTGAGCCTCAATCTCCACACATAACAAGGAAATAATGACACTTATCTCACAATGTCTGTTGCACCTTTAGCTGTGAACAGTGCTGCTATTGATGATGATCAATGCATGTTTTTCTGTCTCGCATCAACTCACCCACCATTCCTTTAGATTTCCTTTGGGGCAATACCGCCTTCAGGACCAGAGTATGTTCTGATCGTCTTAAGTCAGCTGATGTACCCCACCTCCCCGGCTGGCCACAGCAATTAGCTTAGGATGGGCAACTGATGTAATTAGAATGAGAACCAGGCCCAGGGCACTGGTTGGACTGCTGGAGGAGTAGGAAATCTTTCTTCTCCTGGACAGTGTGGTGCAAGCATGAGAGGCTTCCAGGTGTTGTAGTGGCCAAGAGAAGCATACTGGAACCAGTGAGGGAAGCCAACTGCATGAGGTCTAAAAATGAAGCCGACAGACAGAAGAGAGACCAAGAGTGTCCAGGGCCTTGATAAGATTTGAGCATCTGGATCAAGCCATGCTTGATAATCACTGGCCAATAATTTCCTTTTATTTTTTGAGCAGTATGAGCTGGGGTTTCTGTCACTTGCAACATAGGGACTATAATGTAACATAAATACTACCTAGCATTGACTCAGAGCTTAAAATGTGCCTGACGCAGTACTGTGAGCATCATATAGGGTGCTTCTTCAAGCCTCAGAACGTCCCAATAAGATATATCCAATTATTGTATCACAAATGAGAACACCAAAGCCTGGGAAGTTAAATAATTTGCCTAAGGTCACACAGACAGTCACGAAGCCAGGACTGAACCCAGAAAGTCTGATTTGAGTCTACTCTCTTTACCATCATGTTCTTTTTGCCTCTCTGTATATAAAGAACAATCTTTGGTTACATAAATGTGACCTTTTTTTTTTTTAATCTCACTTTTGACTTAAAAAATTACTGTAGAGAGACTCCGTTGCATAGAGTGAATCCAAGGTACTGCTGGTCTCGTTCAGAACATGCTATATTGCACTTAATTTCTAGAATCAGCTTTAAGATGGTTTTTCCGAATATAACTCAAGACCTAGGTTATGAATCTCAAAAGTGGGAATGTAGAAAACCAGATACTTTAGCTACTGGTTACTTCCTTATGTGAGCCAAGGCAAGATCACTCCTGCTTCGGTCTGTCTGAATAGTGGAGAATCAGGAATAGAGAGAATGCTTTGATACCGATTGGCTCTATGGATCTGTTTTTGCTTATGTGAAATTGAGTACTTTCTATTATGATAGGATCACATAATGCGTTCCTTTTGTTTATCCATGGAGACCTTCAAATGATGAATACATTTTTAGCAAGTCAAATTAATAATATACATGATGATGTGACTTACATTATACAGTCTGTATTAAAGGAGGAGTTCCAAGGAACAGATTTACGTTTATTTTATTATTCCAAAATTAGCTGCACTGATCTGTTCAGATTATCACTTGAATATTAGAAGTCTTCAGATTCTTTAGGCCTATGACATCAATTTTGTTCATAACTTGTCTCACTGCAAAACTGTTTAATTAATCTGGAAGCATTTCCTACCTTGGGCTGAAGCACAAACCACTCATCACTTGGATTTTCAAAATTCCATGAGTCAAAAGGAATCTCCACCTCCCCAAGGAAGCTGTTACGTCCAAATCGATCATAATGCCAGACTGAGAGCTGCAGAGTTCTTGTTTCCAGCTGGGTATGGCTGATGGTGTACTGCAAATGAGATTCACAACATCACACTCCACATGGAGGGCTCTGCCCAATTCTACAACGGGCTGAAATGTATTTCCACCATCTTTCGGATATGCATTATGAACCTTATAATATGAACAACGTTATATATAATGCATACACAATACGCATTATAACGTTATAATATGAACAACAAACACAAAAACTTTATTTTTCTTTGTTTACGCTACAACTGGGGTTCTATTCCATAAACTGATTTTGTGTTAGACCTCGCTCTGAAAGATATTTCAGCAAATCATTGAGGACAAAGTCAGTAAACTTCAAATATATTAATAAGTGATGAAGCTTGTCTCCTTTCCAGTTTTACTTGGGTTTCATTTGCTAATCATTTTTCCAACATCTACTCTGTAAGCATAAGTTTTGATATATCAACTCTCCAACTTTTTTTTAATGTTTATTTATTTTTGAGAGAGAGAGAGAG